ATGTATAACATTGTTATGTAAACACCAAATATACAGTACTCACAGCATAATACAGTGAGAGCCACATAAGTTTCCGCCACATTTAAAAGTAGTTGGTTCCACCAATCCTCCCCAGTCTGCATCCAGGCAGCCACCAACCGGACAAGGCCCCTCCAAAAAGGGACTGAGGCCGCACTGTCACAACAGAGAACTACATAACAGAAATAGTGGAATAAATACAATCAGACAAAAGAGTATATCATTTCTTATATAAAAAAGTATCCAATAAGTCTGATGGACACCAACCGATAATAATGATGGTGTAAATTCTATTGTAGCAGGTATTGTCTGAAACCTGGTAGGGAAACGCAGCTCCATGCACAGAATGATCCTCCATTTCTTTTAGGAGAAATAGGTCCAGGTAAAACCTGGAACAATGATATCAAGAAAAGACCCCCAAATAAGTAATGGTAATGTATAAGTATAACCATATCTAGGCCCAATCAGGGGTATCTGTGCAAAAAAGAAAAAAAGAGAAGGAGCTGGCTTACCTAGATGGAAAGATGGCTACAAAACCACACAGTGATAAATCAACATCGTCCACCAACGTGAGAGCAGAGTAAACTCAGGTCTAGGGGATCTATTTATGTCTCCAAAAGCCTCCAAGCCTGTTGCACCACAGACCACATGTCACAAATTTCGGGGAGATATAAGTGATTTTCACTGCTGTGTTGGGCATATTGTACAGCATTTGCAGGATATTAGAACTTCATACAGGAAGGGACTGTTAGGTTGGGACTGAAGGCGGGAGCTGTTTATCTGTGTGTTGTAAACCACTCATACTTCTCATTGCTTTGTACTGTGGGGCTTATTCTACAACATTTGAAATTGTAACATATTCGACCAAACATTGAGGGGCACGACTGCTTGTCTGCATAGTATAGCTATAAACTACCTTTTGCTGCTCATCAACATCATCGTCATCATCATCATCACGGCTTTCTGCTTTTGGCTTATTCTACTACATTTGTGACTGTAACATATTAGACCAGGCACTGAGCACCAGTGCTACTTGTGTGTAGTCTATGGTCATAAACTACGTTTATAGCTCATCATTGTTGCTTTGTTCTGTTGGGCTAATTTTAATTCTTTACAATTGCAATGGCAGCATATTGGACCAGGCATTAAGCACTATCTTTTACTGTTCATCATTACTTTATGCTGTGGGGTTCATTGTACTACATTTGTAGCATATTAGACCAGGCATTGGACCCTAGTGTGGAGGAAGCCTGGAGGAAGACATCATGATGTTCAGGCAAAGCTAGCTGTCATCCTGCACATGCGGAGCATATGCAGGTTCGAAAGCAGGAAGTACTGCTAGTGCGTGGCTTCAGTGACAATTAGCGTTCTATTCCTAGTGCTGGACAGACCACTATTTTTTGGGAGTGTATCTTTGGCTTTAACTATATTTTTAATAAAGGATTTTAACTAATGAGGATTTCTCTTCTTTATGTTTACCATATAGCGATGGAAACCTCTGGAAAATTGCTGAGAGGGGTTTCTGGATACCTTTTCGGCATTAATCATTAAACCATTTTAATAGAGATGTGCACAAAGAAAAAATTTCTTTCACTTTGAATTAATTTGCTAACCACTTGCCAACCGCGCTATAGCCGAATGATGGCTCCATAGTGGTTGTCCAGGTCTGGGAGAACGTCATATGACGTCCTCCCAGAACGCGCCCTCCCGTCTGCCCCCGGGGGCGCGCACCCGGCGATCTCCGTAATCGCTGTGTCCTACACAGCTGATCACGTGATGTGGTAAAAGGCCAATCACAGTGGCCTTTTACCACGTGATCAGCTGTGTCCAATGACACAGAAGATCACCGGTAAATGCAGTTGCCAGTTATTCGCTGCACTTTCCTCGCGCCGTCGCAGCATGAGGAAAGCACTGCTGACAACTAGCAATTGTCAGAGGATGGATCAGCACCGATCATCAGGGCACTGATCATCAGTGCCCTGATGATCAGTGCCCAGCAGTGCCACCCTCAGTGCCGCCCACCTGTGCCCAGCAGTGCCATTCACCTGTGCCCATCAGTGTCACCCACCTGTGCCCATCAGTGCCACCCACCTGTGCCCATCAGTGACTAGTAGTGCCACCCACCTGTGCCCAGCAGTGCCACTCATCAGTGCCCAGCAGTGCCCCCCATCAGTGCTGCCCAGCAGTGCTACCCAGCAGTGCCGCCAGTCAGCATCATCAGTCAGTGTCACGCATCAGTGCCCATCAGCGCTGCCTATCAGTGCCCATCAGTGCCGCCAGTCAGTGCCGTTAGTCAGTGCCACCAATCAGTCCCCATCAGTGCTGCCCATGAGTGCTGCCTATCAGTGCCGGTGATCTTCTGTGTCATTGTTGCATATCAGTGCAGCATCATCGGTGCCAGCTCATCAGTGCCACCTATCAGTGCTGCCTATCAGTGTCCATCAGTGCTGCCTATCTGTGCCACCTCAACAGTGCCGCCTATCAGTGCCCATCAGTGCTGCCTATCAGTGCAGCCTCATCAACACACATCAGCGAAGGATAAAAGTTACCTGTATAAGTGCCTGGTAGGCAAGTGGTTAAGTCAATCATTTCGTTTCATCATATTCGTTATGTTAGAATGATTCCTTTTCGTATATTTGGTTTTGTTTAGTATTTTGATCCAAACTAATTCGTATTTTCAGAAGTTATTTTGGAAGATTCAGATTCATTTGTTAAGTTCTTTTGATGACTTGCTTGCAACTTTGATGCAATTTGCTTACAATTTCGATGTGACTTACTTGTGACTTTGATGTTTGCTTAACTTTGGCCAATCTTACCAATACTGTGCAGAGTGTGACAATCATATTGAGCTTACAAAGCCCTCTGAAGTTTCAAACAAATGAAGCAAATTAATACAAATTAATTAGTAATTTTTGTTATAATTTATTTTGAATTTATTGAAATTCATTACTATTGTGATTCGGATACATCCAAATAACGAAAATTTCATCCAAATTTTGTTTCCTAATGAAACAAATCGCACATGTCTACTTTTTAATAAAGGTCTTTATGTAATGAGGATTTGTATTCTTTCTGTTTCCCATGCAGCAATGGAAACCTCTAGAAAATAGCTGAGAGGGGTTTCTGGATACCTTTTAGTCATTTAACAAAGTGCATGTGAACTGCTTATTAAGTCTAGAGGTGAATAATATTTGGTGAGGTTAATGTGCACAGGGAGTCGGGGGAGTCTGGTGTCTGGAGATTCACATGAGAAGAATATACACAGATTTATTGTGGATATGAATTTATTTTTGCACTGATAAAGACCATACTGTTGCACTGAGTGACATTTGTTTATAATTTTGCACTGTGACTTTATATTGATTTATTGGCATAGTAGATTATATGTTGGTTAATTGTAATGACCTTACATCACCCCACATTCACTACACCCCTAATCCACATAGATAAGTTGGACATACACCAGTAAGGCCTACTATTCCTGAATAAAACTGTCCTGCTGTTGGACAAATTTAAAATACTGTGTCTGCAGTCTCATAATTGAATAGTAAAACCCTTGCTTGTACTCCTGTCTATAGCATATTTTGGCTTAGTACCTCTGATTAAAACTGTCCTGCCATTGACTAATTTTACAATGCTGTATCCTTTGCACTATTCTAATTGTTGTAGTAAAGCCACAGTCTGTACCGTTTGGGATTGATTTGCTAAAGGCAAATAGGCTAATCAGTTTAATCACTTTGCAATGGAAGTTGTACTTCACAAGAGAATTTGCACCAAAGCTTAGTGAATGATGTGAAGCTTTGCTGATTATCCATTATCTAATCATGTACAAGTAAAAACACATTTTTTATGTACCTTGCACATACCTGGGTATCCTTGCAAAGAGAAACTCCACCACATTCACAAAGCTCTGGTACAAATTGCCATGCAAATTGCAGCTATTTGTCTTTAGAAAAGCATCAGATTTTTCTCTTGTAAATTTAGGCCTAATCTTGCTATTTAAAATTATTCTTTTTGCTGTACAATTTTACAATGCTGTGTCATTTGTGCTCTCTTAATTCATGTAGTAAAACACCTGACTATACTCCTGTTCTTTAGTATGTTTTGACAAATTCACCCTAGTTAATATTGTACTGATGTTGGCCAATTCCTAACGAGAGCTTGAGAGATATTGGCCAACATCTGGACAAATTTTGCATCAGGGAGATCAGGAAAAGGCACAATGAACTACTGGAAAATTTCTATCCACCAATATAAGCCAAGCTAAGTGTAAAAGAAAAAAAAAAAATTCCACAGTCCAATATGTACTACCAGTGTACACTGTTGCTGAGACTGAAATTGAGCTGTTTTGTAACACCATGCACAGCTGTATTACATCCCCCAAGCACGTTGATTAAAGAATTTGTATATTTACAATGTTACCCTTGATATCACATTAAAATATACTATGCAGTGTGTTTTTAACAAAAATATTTTTCTACAGAGATTGAGATCCCCATTTTATTCATTAATAAGAATTAGAATAGCATGCATTTGAGTAACATGTTTACCTCTTGGGAATGTAATATGCTAATGAGCCCCTGGAGTAAACAGATGAATAGGTGGCGCTTCTTTGGTTCTCAAGGCTTACAATGTTTTCTATAAATATATATTGAAAATGTAAACCTTTTTAACCAAATTTGATTTTCTTTTTTAAGAACATTTCTGAATGCAGGTAAAACCACAGTTGAACCATCATTACTGTGTTTATTTCTGTATGTAATCTTTTGCCTTTCATATTTTAATTTAATCTTGTGGTAATTTTTTTTTAGGTTGTTGAAGAAAGTAAAATTCTTCAGACTATTTTTCCACATCCTCTTACAAAAATGCTTGATGATGACAGCCTGGGTAACAAGACAGCACAGAGTAGATTTTTTATTGTTGGCTTTCCTACAAATCCACAGACCCAGCTGATACTTTTCACTGGAATTCTCATTATCTACATGATAGCTATGTTGGGAAATTTGATCATCACAATGCTGATCATCCAGGCTCCTCAGTTGCATACTCCTATGTACTTTCTTATATGTAATCTATCTCTATTAGACATGTCTTTTATATCAGTTACTGTTCCAAAGCTTTTAGCCATCACAAAGACTGACATGAATGTTTTGTCTTTTAAAGAATGTATCTCGCAAATGTACTTTTTTATTGCAACTGCAAACATAGAGTCTTTTCTTCTGACCTCCATGTCTTATGATAGATATGTAGCAATTTGTAATCCTTTGCTCTATCCTTTAATTATGAACAGAGTTTCATGTTTATTTTTGACTGTAGCATCCTGGCTCCTTGGATTCTTAAACTCATTATTGCTCTCGTTGCTTACATCAAATTTGTCATTTTGTAAGTCCAAAATCATTAATAATTTTTTCTGTGACCTCAAGGCACTTCTAAATATGTCCTGTAGTGACACTACTCTCATTCAGACTATTATACTTGTTGACAATTTTATCATTGGTTTCTTTCCTTCTTCTTTGACCTTGACCTCTTATGCTTATATCATTTCTAGCGTGTTAAAAATCCATAGCACAGAGGGGAGACATAAAGCTTTCTCAAACTGCACGTCACACCTTACCATTCTTTTCCTCTTTTATGGAACAGCACTTTGCTTGTACATGGTTCCTAATGCTGAAAACTCTCAAACCAAAGATAGCATTCTTTCATTTATTTATGTTGCTTTAATTCCAATGGTAAATCCATTAGTTTATAGTCTACGAAATAAGGATGTTTTAGGAGCTTTGTCAAAAGTAACTGGATGGAATAAAGCACATAGAATATCTTTTAAAAACAAAATTTAAAAAAGCATTTATACCTAAATTATCACAAAGTAAATCTATGCTTTGATAGTCACATTTCAACGATGGTAGTCTATTGTTGATGTAAATGTATCATTTTTTTCCCTAGTATATATCAAATATTCTTATTTATTCCTGAAGTCTGTCCAAAAAAACATGATGTGTAAGTGATAGCTGTCTTTCTGGTAACCTGGGATTTTCAAACATAGGGTCTTCCAACATCATTCTCTTTCTGCAGAAGCTGTTCCTGGCTTCCACAAGAGGTAATTGAATTGAAAAGAGAACAAGATTTTAAATTTTTCCTAATAAAAGCAAAATACAAATAAAAACTATGCAGCTTCTCTAAGTGAAAAATGTTGTTCCAAACTAAACACCCACCTTAATACTTAGTGGTATTAAATACTAAAGCAAACATTTATTATATCGCAGCTTTCCATTTCATAGATGTGATGGTGGTATTCATTTTCTTTTTTTAGGCTTTCTTTCTTTTATTTTCACCTGGTGATCCAGCCAGTAAGTCAGTTGTTATTCAACAGAACTAGCTCTCCAACAAAATGTAGAAGTTACAGAGGTGAGACAAACCACTTGACACTGACAGGGGTGCTTACAATGATCAACTTTTATTGGTTCATGTAAAACCTTTATCCCAAAAGGAAAAACAGTTTATAAAATAATAGCCAGAGTTTGGCTTCAAATTTGTTAGTGTATTTAAATCTGTTAATACTTCTAATACTCCCCTCCCCACCACACTAATAATGCTAGAAGGTGAACCGTGCTCCATCAGCCGGATGGAGGAGCACGGTTCACCTTCTAGCATTATTAGTATGGGGGGGGAGTGTTAGAAGTATTAACAGATTTAAGTAAAAAAAAAAGTGGGGGCACTCTAATACAGGAGGTGTTGTACTGGCCAGATCACCAGGTGAAAACAGAGAGAAAAAAGCCTAAAAAAAAGGAAAACTAATGCAACCACCAAATCTAAGAGTTGGCAAGTTGCAATATATTACATTTTTGGGTTTGGGTTTAATATCCCTTTAAAGCATATGTAAATCTGAACATGTAACATATCACCGTAACTAGATTTGCAGACCAAGCACCAGGTATGCGCAAAGTTCAGAAATGAGCAAAGTCAGTTAACAAGCTGGAGGTGGTATCTGATTGGCAGAAAAGCAACAAAACATAAGCAGAATCGAAGTCAAGAGCAAGCAGAGGTTGGCAATGTGTAAACAGTGAGGTGCCAAGTTGACAAGCAAAGACTTTATCAGAAGACTCGGCTGAGGCTGGTAACAGAGATGATCAGAAATCATAGAAAGACAATGATAATCTAAAGGCCCTTTCACAAGGGCTGCTTCTATTCTGATCAGCAGGGGATCAGTGAACTGATCCTGTGCTGATGGGAGCAGAGCAGATGACAGGTTCATGTCTGTTCAGTTTCAGCATAACAGACATGGACAGACCCTGCTCTGCTCTATGGGTGGTAGTAGTAAACAGACTCCGTTGTCTGTTTACACCCAGTTGCCTCCTATCCAGTTTGCCCAAACAGAAGAGGGCTCAGTCCTCCTCCATTCTTTTTAAAGGGCCTGGATATAGACTGGTGTAAATGGACACAAGTCCATTTACACCCGCCAGTCCATGGGAATGCATGGACCTTCAAATCAGGTCCGCCTAATCGGATTGCCCTTGTGAAGGGCCTTAAGAGAAGGTCAAATGGAAGACAGGTAAGTAACCAAGGCCAGGCCCAAGTTCAAGGTCAGGGCAGACAGAAAGATCAACCAGCAATGAGCTTATTCTAAACTCAGTTTTAAATAACCCACTTAGTTCTAGTATCTGTGGTGGATGTGCACGCACATCCGCATGCATGTAAATGTACACAAAGTCACACGACGTAGGTCTTTCTGAACACAATTATGTTCAAATACAGTTTAACCATCCTTTACTTGAACATTTAACCTAACCAAAAAAACCTACATGAGCTCCAGTGGAGACTACATGGGATCATTTACCAAGGAAATTTCACTGTCGCCATGAACAAAGCTTATTACCTGATCCTGCTCTCTTATTTATATCTCCCATATTAGGCAATTCCTGTCATCTCAGTCTTGAAACATATCTTGAATTTCTTTTGTTATTGTGCATGACTGATCTAAAATGCCCTCATTATCTCTTGGTTTGACTATTGTAACAAAATCCTCTGTGGTCTACCAACAAACATACTGTCATAACTTCATTCCTTTCCTAACTCTGCTGTCATCCACTCTTTTCACTCTTCCTGCTCCACTCTTTCAGCCATATACTACCAGCCAATTCAGATCAAAGTTTTATAACTAACTCACAAAGTCCTCTTGCCCTTCCATGCATTTTCTTAAAAATTTCTAGATAAAGCCTAAGGCAGGCAATACATTAGTAATTTTTTTCATGCAACTAGCAGGTTGCAAGAAAAAAAATGACCCAATTCTTCCATCCACACATTCTAGGTGGATGGCGGAATTGCTCCTGCATTGCTTTTGTATTCTGACTTCCATGCGGTCAACACATACTGATCAGCGCAGCCGACTATAGCCGGCAGTGTTGATTGTGTGGACGTTTTTCAAGAGCATGGTTATGCAGAAGTTGATTGATAGACAACCTACTCATACATGGTTTAATATTTGGACAATTCCTTCTAAACCGGCCAAATTTCAATCCATGTATGTCCGGCTTTACTCTCAGTTTCAATTCTTCAAAAAACCTTCTTTTGTCCTCAGAATAGTTACATATATATTCATGATTTTCCCATTTGTGGAATTTTCTTCCACTACTGTTGGGTGCCCTTCAAGCCTTAACATTTTTTTTAAACTCATCTCCTCAGACAAGTTTATATTTTGATCTACATTATTCTCTCTCAACATCTGTTACTGATAGGGATGAGCAATTCTGCCAGGGTTCATTTTGCAGAGGGTTTGCAAAGTCTGAACTGCACACCCAATTGAAGTCTACGGGGGATTATTTATTTATTTATTTATTGCAGGTACTTATATAGCGCCATCAATTTACGCAGTGCTTTACATATACAGGTGAAACTAAAAAAATTAGACTATCATGCAAACGTTCATTTATTTCAGTAATGCAACTTAAAAGATGAAACTAATATATGATAGAGACTCATTGCATGCAAAGCTAGATAGTTCAAACCGTGATTTGTCATAATTGTGATGATTATGACTTACAGCTCATGAAAACCCCAAATCCACAATCTCAGAAAATTAGAATATTGTGAAAAGGTGCAATATTTTATGCTCAAAGTGTCCCACTCTAATCAGCTAATTAAGCCATAACACCTGCAAAGAGTTCCTGAGCCTTTAAATTGTCTCTTAGTCTGGTTCAGTAGGAATCACAATCATGGGAAAGACTGCTGACCTGACAGTTGTGCAGAAAACCATCACTGACACTCTCCATAAGGAGGGAAGGCCTCAAAAGGTAATTGCAAAAGAAGTTGGATGTTCCCTAAGTACTGTATCAAAGCACATTAATAGAAAGTTATGTGGAAGGGAAAAGTGTGGAAGAAAACGGTGCACAAGCAGCAGGGATGACCGCAGCCTGGAGAGGATTGTCAGGAAAAGGCCATTCAAAAGTGTTGGGGACTTTCACAAGGAGTGGACTGAGGCTGGAGTCAGTGCATCAAGAGCCACCACACACAGATGGATCCTGGAAATGGGCTTCAAATGTCGTATTCCTCTTGTCAAGCCGCTTATGAACAACAAACAACGTCAGAAGTGTCTTACCTGGGCTAAAGAAAACCAAACCTGGTCTGTTGCTCAGTGGTCCAAAGTCCTCTTTTCTGATGAGAGCAACTTTTGCATCTCATTTGGAAACCAAGGACCCAGAGTATGGAGGAAGAATGGAGAGGCACACACTGCAAGATGCTTGAAGTCCAGTGTGAAGTTTCCAGAGTCTGTGTTGATTTGGGGAGCCATGTCATCTGCATGTGTTGGTCCACTGTGCTTCATTAGGTCCAGGGTCAATGCAGCCGTTAACCAGGAGATTTTGGAGCACTTCATGCTTCCTTCCGCAGACGAGCTTTATGGGGATGCTGACTTCATTTTCCAGCAGGACTTGGCACCTGCCCACACTGCCAAAAGCACCAAAACCTGGTTCAATGACTGTGGGATTACTGTGCTTGATTGGCCAGCAAACTCACCTGATCTGAACCCCATAGAGAATCTATGGGGCATTGCCAAGAGAAAGATGAGAGACATGAGACCGAACAATGCAGAAGAGCTGAAGGCCGCTATTGAAGCATCCTGGTCTTCCATAACACCTCAGCAGTGCCACAGGCTGATAGCTTCCATGCCACACCCCATTGAGGCAGAAATTGATGCAAAAGGGGCCCAAACCAAGTACTGAGCACATATGCATGCTTATACTTTTCAGAGGTCCGATATTGTTCTATGTACAATCCTTGTTTAATTGATTGCATGTAATATTCTAATTTTCTGAGATTGTGGATTTGGGGTTTTCACAAGCTGTAAGCCATAATCATCACAATTATAACAAATCATGGCTTGAATTATCCTCCTTTGCATGTAATGAGTCTATCTCATATATTAGTTTCACCTTTTAAGTTGCATTACTGAAATAAATGAACTTTTGCATGATATTCTAATTTTTCGAGTTTCACCTGTATATTGTACATTCACATCAGTCCCTAACCCTCAAGGGGCGTACATGAATATTGTTACTAAATTCTGGCCATTTTCATGGCTATTTGGCAAGCTACTTTCAAAAAAGGGTATGGACAGCTGGGCACTGAAATGGATAAAATAATAATAAAATATTTAGAAATACCATACAGTGTGAAGAGGATCCTTTTAATGCAACTTTGAAGACGGCATGGGAAAAACACCAATCTTTTAAATTACATGCTTGAAAGATACCTGAAAGCTATATGTGGTATTACAGAACAGTAAGTTTTTCATGGACAGCATTAGGGACACAGCATTCTGGCATCACATATTTTAAATGTGTAG